TATCACTGTCAATTTTAATTTGTACTGTTACATTGTCTGTTTATTAGCTTAACCTTTTTATTAACTATTATATATGCAAACTATATCTTTTGTTGTCATAAGTAAAATTCATTCTTTTTTGTAAGTAAAACTTGTCATTTCTTTCCTTTCCAACATCACCTCCTCGATCCTGAACCAAAAAGCCCAGTGGCTAATGAAGTTGCAGTGCTCAGTCAGTCTGCAACTAAACTGATATACTCACTGTGCCCAGCTGGCCTGTGACAGACTGTCTATACTTAGCCTTAGGGGGTGGCTGAAGAGCCCAGGTTCTCAAGGTCTGTGGCTCCAAGGGAGCTTGGCATTTGACATTTTTTATGGCTGAGAACAAGACCTTCATGATTTCATTCTGAATCAGACCAGAGCCAAATGGTGAAATAGCAAAATCTGCCACAACATAGAATATTTCACCCTACCTAACTCTGCTTTGTAGTTCTGAGCTCTTGACACTGCTGAGGGTTGTAGCTGCATGCTTGCTCATCTTAAATGACAAAATATGACTACATGACAGATTTACATGATGAACAATAGTAAAGTACTTACAGGAAATGAAGCTCCAAAGGTATAATCCTACTGGGCCATGCAGAGTTTCATAGGGATTGCCAAATGCATTGTACATGAAGAACCCGGTTCCAATCAGAGCAAAGACAATCAGGACTGTACAGAAGAGAATGACACTAACGTGGATGCTTGCAGGGATAATTTTGAGCAGATCTGGAAAAACTAAAAAGAAAATAAACATAAATTATAACTAAAATTTGGCAAAATTATTATTTCAGAAGTCAGTCCAAGGATGTCATGCTATTCTGTGCTAACCATTTAAAATTATGCTTTTTTCAAAATATCAGGTAAGGAAAATGAAGTAATCAACAATGGATTATAAGCAGATTTGCAAAGGTATTTGGAGGCAGAAGCAGTAGTTAGAATTCAGAAATGTAGACTAGGCAAGAAGGAGAGCCTAGCTGTGGGGGGAACCCCATCTTTCCTTCTCGATCACATCTACCTATGTGCATTAATAATTACTGCCTTACCTGCACTCAGAAAGTAATGCTGAACTTTCCTGTGTGATGTCTACACTTTAAAGAGCATTCAGCCTGAGAGCCAGCTTCATTTTTGTTAGATTTTTAGATAGAACTTCTATAACTTTTCAATACAGAAAATCAGCCCTAAATCAGCAGACTGAAATGTTCACCTTCTTGTTCCTTAATAGTAGAGAAGAGAAGCTGTAAATCCTTCCTTATCACTGATGTACACAATGGGGTGTTTATAAGAAACAGTATCATAATTAACTTCCTACTAGCTTTTCCATGGAGCTTGTTGAGGGATGATGTGCATCTCTTTCCTCCCACATCAGGACCTTGTCCCTTCTCAGCTGTGGATGGTTGAGGCAGTGTGGAGGACTATGCAAAGTCAGGTGCAGGGAGGATGGTTTTGTGGATAAAACTGGTTTTATACATCTGCACTAGAAATGAGTTACATTAGCTTGATTGTTAGGCCCATGGTATTTCCCATGTCTGAGGGACATAGGATGTTAGGGTGCCTGTACATGAGCATGGAGCCTGCTCTGATGTGCTGTAATTGCAGTGCGGTGGAGCAGATTCAGTTAATCATGTCTGCTGGAGTGTGGTAATTATTGCGCTCTGGCAGTTTCCTGTGTCTCATGTATCAGCATTCTTGCACATCAAAATGGTGACAGGGGCACTTGAACTAAAACTCATTGAATGAGCTTTAGTTCAAGTGCCCCTGCTGCCATTTTGAAGTGCAGGGAAACTGATACATGAGATGTGGTGCTTTAATTAGAGTGGCTCTCTCAAACCTCTGGAGCATGTGTAAAAGCACCCTTAGGGACTGAAGCCTGTGACTTGACATAGTGTACCCTCCACTTACAATGGTGAAGAGACACATCCTGGGCATGGGTTATATAATGTGCTTATCTTTTTAAAAATTAAATAGAATACATTAGAAAAGATAAGTGAAGAAACCTGAATTGTTCCATGGGCTACAAATACTGAAGAAGCATGCATGCTTACAAGAACCAAAGGAAAAGAAGTACAGGACATAATGTAAACATTTATTTACCAAAAAATGGTACAAACTAACTAAGAGAGAATCCACATAATCCAGTTCTAAATGTAATGATTACAGAGGTCCAAAAAATACAAATACGGGATTTTAATCTCATAGAGGTAGGGCTTTTTGGGAAATTTGTACCTGCAAACCCTACAGAAAAAAAATCCAGGATGTTCAGTTTCATGATTTTGGTATGAGCCCATCTCTAACATAATTGGAAGATGTAATAAACACTGAAGGAGATGATTTTGCAACCTGGTATTTCTTACAAGCTACATGTGGACTGGTTTGCCCAATATACGTAGGCAAACTTTTTAAATGACATAGATACGAAGGAAGATACAAAGAGAGACAAGTTTTGTTTAGAGCATTGTATACAAAACAGAGATTTAGTCTTGAAAATATTTTTTAGGAACTCAGCTCATTCAGCCATGAAACAAGATAACTGTAGGGTGACCCATTTACCTTGTATTAATAGATGAAGAGTTCATGCAATGACCAGGGACCAACAAGGGGCTAATCTGATATTGCATAATGAGAAGTTAAATAAGGCATCAGAAAGAGTTTATGGACCCTAAGGGTTATCTTTAGCATGATGAAATAGTAGCACTGTGGAATAGTCCGTGATGTTGCTGGAGCTGATAATGTTCAGAAGTCTAAGCCCTGAGTCTGAAATTGATTTCTTTAGGTATACTAATGAAATCATGGTGTTACCGCTGGAAAGTTCAAGATGAGCTAGATATACTTTTGACTGCTTCCTAAAATGTTTCTTTCTAGCTTAACCTAGGGAGTCATTAAAAACTACACTACAGTTACACGAGGGGCTAGATTACTTTTTGTCTATATAGCAACCACAGTCTGATAGGTGCTAAACTGACAGGCTCAAGGATGCCATGAGGATTGACAGTCTTAAGGAATCAATTATGTTAGCCATTCTTATGTTAAGTAGTAATTCCCTCAGTGAATAGTCTAATTGACTTCAACAGAATGACTTGCGGTAAGATGTGATTTAGTAGAGTTGGCTGAAAAATGTGATTTTTTGCAAAAATTGTTTTGCAAAGATATGTGGCTCTTTTGTCACAATTTTTGAAATCTAAACAACCTGTAGTTGACACAGTTAGGGTCTATCAGTGCTAGCTAACACACTGGAGTGTATCGTGCTCTTGTGAGTGTGTATACCACTTGAATAAAATTCAGTAGGGGTTGTGTGGGGATTTTAAGTACAAAAATGTTGCTGAGTGTCTGTTGCTTAGATTTAGAGTTAAGTTTAATTAAGAATAGGACCTTTTTAGGAAAAAAACATCCTTAATTACACCTCAACATATTAACAGACACTCAGCATTCAAATATGTAAAGGTTATATGTGTTAGGTGTCACACATCTCAGGAAAGTTTGATTGCAATTAGGATTAAATTATGCTGTGAGTGAGGTTAATGTGTTGTGTGTGCAGTATGGAGACAAAAGAAATTTCCTGGTGAATGTATAGCCTCAAACTGGCTGTGAAATTTGTGGGGGCACTTAGGTTAAGAGGCACTTAAGAGCTTCCGTATAACTTGGCATTTCCTTGTTTTTAAGGTTTTGCATTGGAGAGGGAATTTCATACTTAACCTATCTTAATCCCTTTAAATTCATGGACTATGGCAATAAGGGAGAACAAATGCACTAAGTTTATGTCAGAGAAGTCACTTTCATTTTGCTGAAGCCAAGTACTTGCAAAGGTCAAGGGTATTTTAGAAGAGCAGAATATTTCCCCTGAGTTTCCTTAAGTAAAACCAGAGGTGTAATGTGGCTGGGCACCCAGAGCAGCTGCCACACATAGGGGCAGTGGTGACTTCTGGTTGCTGCCATACTGCCACTGTGACTGTGCAGCTGTAGTATAACAGTTTTTTTCCACCCCTGCAACACCTTCCAGTCAGTGCCAAGAGTGGGTTACACCATTGAGAAAAACAAATATTAGTGGATTTTTTTAAAACAGCTTAGCCTAAACAAGGAGGAGTGGATTAAGGAAGTCAAAGGAAATATAGAACAAAAGGGAGGATGCTAAAATAAATGAGGAATCAGATGAATACGTTATCTGTGCCTCATTCTGCTCTGATTCAGTGTGGTTTTATTGGTTTATTGCCTGGACATGTGATATTTTCTTATGACTCTGTTTTTGACCCATAAATGTCAGAAGTATATTGCTATTTTGCAGCCTATTAAATATTGAGTACTGTATATTGTAAAAAATGATTAACATATGCTGCCTTGTTAATCTGTATCTGATTTCTTGCAGCAGGCCTCCCATGCTTTGAGGACAATTAGCTGTAAGGGCAATAGCACCCAATTGGGAGGAAGAGTAGGCAGGACAGGGACGAGTCTGCACAGAATCACTGGATTAGAGACTATGCTGAGACTTGGCTAAACATGTGGGTCAATGTGACCAGACACCAGATAATGTATACAGAAGTTATTTATTTTTAATATCCTTATATGTTGAGTTTTAGCTATTACTTTAAATTATGAGCATACTTACATGGGCCACTATGGATAGTGAATCAGATCCACTAGAAGAGGGTAATTTTTAATCACTTGTGCTTGTTTGATGACAACAGATATTTTAGAACTAATCATTGAGCACACTTAACTGCTCCTGATCCACAGGGGCATGATTAAATCGGGGGTAATAACTCCTCAGAACTGCCTTGCTGCACTTATAACATGCTGAGAAAGAGCTAAGTAGAAGCCTCACATAAATTAATCTAACCTGTAAAATGTTTACCAGCAAACAGTTTTGTAGCCTGCAATGCAGTAAATATAAAAAGGCAGGTAATGTGACATCAAGTCAATTTATCTTCATGACTAAATGCCAAACAAATTAATTATGGTTAAGCAAATGTTTGTAAATTTTGCTACCAGCTTTTTTGACTATAACATTTATTTTCTTACTATTGCCTAAAAAGTACAATTGAGACTGTGATGAGTCCAGCAACTCAAATTCTTTTTCTCCTGCCCTTTAGCCTACTCTGGGAAGAATGCTATTTGCAGAACTATTTGAAAGATTTAATAAAATCTGTACCTTTCTTGACCTTTCTTTGTCATAACATCTGTTGAAGAAGAGTTTGGCTTACAAAAGCTTATGACTTTCTGAACCAGTTTGCCTTGAAAGTGCCCTGTCCTCTTTTTTTCTTGACCAGTGTTGATGCACACAAACCAGTATAAGTGATTAGAAACCCATTCAAACCTGTAACATAACAGAAGTTCAGTGCGCATAAACTGCTTTCAAAATGGCCAAACCCAGTTTAAGATAAACTTGGTTGGATGTAGTATCAGACTTCACTGATTTAGGTTAAATCACTGTGTTAAGCTTGTGTCCCAGATCCCCTCCTGACACAAGTTACCTCACAGTCCCCCAGCATCCCAGGATGCTTTTCAGTTCTGGGCTGTGCTGTTTGCTGTGGTGGAGCAGGGCTGGCCCTGCCCCCAGCTGTCACAGAGCTGAGGCAGTAAAGCTTCTGCTCCTTAGTTGGCTTCCTGCTTGGGCCTGTCAGCCCAGTGGGATGGGGGAGCAAGGGAATGGATCCCCTCAGACTCCCCTGTCCAGGTTGGCACAGTGTGTATGGAGGGGAAGCCTTACTTGTGGGGGTTCCCTCCCAACCCATTGAGCCTCCAAG